GTCCTTTTGCACCCACGTGGTGTGGTCGGGACAGGTCCTATCATGGAGGTACCATCCCGTGCCTGGGATCCATTCGCACTGAAAGTATTTATGGGGGTCACTGGGGTGTGGCATATAGCCATCCCGAGAGCACCAGTAGTCAACACTACTGGTAACACTACTGGTTGTGCCCTGAGTTGTGGGTTTAGTTGTAGGAGGGGTAGTCGGAGGGGTAGTAGGAGGTGTAGTAGGTTGAGTTGTCGGTGTGGTTGGAGGTGGTGGTGTAGGTGTAGGTGCGAATTTACATTCAAGCGACTTGATCTCATCGCCATTCAACATACGGTGAACTTTATTCATGAGGGGGTTCTTCCCGCCCCCGCACTTACTCCTGAAGTCGTCGTTCTCGAGGGCCCACACCATACCACCCGACAGTCCCATGGATTTCAAGAAAGCGATCTATAATTACAACACAATTGACGGTTAGTTTGTGTTTTATGTCTCATATATTCATTGACCCATACTTTGCACGAAATACTGTCCACGTCTTCATAACCAATGAATATCTCGTCGTTATAAGCATACGGCGCCCTATAGTACGGGTCATACTCGTTGTGCCATTGCGAGGGATCTTTGAGCTCCAGTTGACATAACTTATGGAAATAAATTGTATTATAATTTCAGTTACTATTAAATATTATTTCTGAATGCATACCTCATTATATCCCAACACTCCGGCCTCACCACCGATGAAACCCTCGGGTGACATCCCCTTTGCAATGTCGTGGAGGTTATGCTTATCTTTACTCATGAGAGTCCAACCCCTGCCATAGAAGGGCACTCCCATCACCATCTTCTCCTTCTTGAGTCCCAACGACAGGTAATAATTGACGGTATAGTTCACATTAAATGTTCTGTAATTCGTGTGCAATTTCCTCTCCAACTCCTCGGTCTCATCGGGTCGGCTATAGAGTGGGGCGTTGTGTCCGAGAATGTCTTCCCAACCCCCGTGATAGTCGTATGTCATTACGTTTCCCCAATCCAGCAGTTCATTCATTAGGGGTACGTCTCCATAGGCGGCGTCCATCGTTTGCTTTCCGGGTGAGAGGGCAGCCGTCAGGAGATACCCGTGCGGGTCGAAGGCTTCTCTCAATTCCTTCAGCAGTTTCAGAAAATTGGATTTATCTGCGACCTCATCACCACCTCTGTTAGCCGG